TTGGGGTGGCTTTGGACCCTGCGCGCGAGCGCGGTCCCCTGGGCACCCGTGCAACTCGGCTCGGAGCGAGCCAGCTCATTCCCGCGTCTTGGGGCGCAGAGTAGCTCCTCTGCTGTGGTCGGCTTGCTCCCCGGAGTTGGAAGCGGCTCTCCGAAGTAAGTATATGTGGCTGGGGTGGGGCAGCAGCCTCGTCTAATTTCGGGATTCAGGTCCCCTGAGGCGCTGCACCGTGCCACTTGAGGAACCGGTGCTGGGCGGACTCTCTGCGCTAGTTGTGGACGTGCTTGCCTTGGGGTTTCTCCGTTGGGGCTGAGCGCGGATCCATACAGGAGCCCGTTGGAGGAAGCAGGTCAGCTCCCCACCTGAGCCTCGGGGTTGCGGGGTCTCGCAGGCGATCGCAGCTGGCTCTCGGGAGGCCAAGCTCCCCGGCGGGGCGGGGGGGACCGTAGCGGCCCTGAAGTCCCACCTCTAACCTCGCGGCGTCCCGGATTTGCCCACCCAGGCGGCGTCTGCGTACCATTCTTTGCCTGGTTTCCCTTGTTTCGCTTGCTCTGGTTGTCCTCCGGTAAGAGAGGGCATCCTTAAACTAAGCAAGGGCCCAAGCTCGGGGAGGATTGGACGTGGAAGGCTCAGCATCCCGCACCTGGGGAGGCAGCCCGGGCTGGACGCAGGGCGCTGTGCATTTCACGCTTGCAACAGTATCATTATTGTCCTTAGCCAAGCTTTAGAGGAACTTCTCAGCAATATGCTCGTGCACAGATTCCTGACTGAGACCTTTGCATGTGCTCCTCCTTCGAGGAAACATCCTTATCCCTCAAGTCGTTCTCTCTGTAACTTTTCAGTGGCCTTTCCTCCAAGACAGCGAGATGGGTGCGCTGTGACAGGCGATCGTGTGTGTGTGGTCGCCTTCCTAGCCTTAGTCTGGTTCTTTCTCTCATCTCCTTGGCACAGGGATTGCTCACAGCAACCGGAGGCCTCCACCTGCACATTCAGACCCCAAACCTGTACGCACGAACAGCTAAGCTTTCTAGCGGAGCTTGGATTTTTACAAAGGCTAAAATTGTTCAGAACATCCGTCTGGCAATCCAATTACTGTTTTCCACTCGGTCATTTGAGACGAGCGATGTGAAGAATTCTTCAACAGCTCACTGTGGCTTTTATGGTGAGAAGCCTTTCTGCTAAGTTTATGGTCATAAATAAATGTGCCAGTCCAACGCTTCCTTTGGATTGGAAATGCAGACCTTAATAAGGCCGTGTGAGAGCAATTTTCAGAAACATTATAACTAATGATGACTTATGTCCTCCCAAAATGACCATGCAGGTTAACATCCCTTATTTATGCAGAAAGCTTTCTTCATAGATCAGTCTTCTCAGAGCCGAAAGCTGTATTTCAGGGTCTTCTAAGTTTTTCTTGCTCATTGTTTTTGCTATCCCCTCACAGGTCCAGCTGACTACTCTTTGATGCTTTAAATTTTATTATAAGGCTTTTAAGCCATGACTTAACTTGGCCAATTTTCCCTGCTAGAGATGAGAAAGTTGCCTTCCTCAGAAAAGCAGAGGCTGCTGGTGTACCTGTTTTTGAATGGCTTTATTCTCCCCACTCACCCCAAACATCTGTAATGATGTTGCATATTCTTCACTGTAGGCAACCTTTCCCATGTTTCCAGTGCTGGATTGTTCTAGGTCACTTGACTTTCAATATTCATTTTCTGATCTTTTTAGAGACATGTATTGTTTGATGACCTAGTTCTATTTAGTTAAGAAGAAAATGACCCTTCCTTTCCCCCCACCTACTTTTCAGTGGCACATAGCCTTTCCCTAATAGCTGCCTGTTCCCTGACCCACTCATTTATTGTTACACTTAATATAATAATTTGTTGTGTAAATGATGTGTGGATGCATAGGGTATTAAAACTGCATTCGCTGGGGATTAACCCATAGGTATGACATCATCACCAGCCAATCCTCTATCTGATTTGAACATGCATTGACAAGAGTCACATTATCACATTGAGCTAGGGATTCTCTATTGCCTGTGATGGATGGGGGAGAGAGGCAGGTCTTTTTGGCACTTTATAACTCAATTAGCTGCCCAGTTGGAGAGTTTTGGGGATTTCTAGAGTAAGAAGCTTAGCTTAATAATAAAATTCTAAGATTGCAGTTTTAGAGATCTCCTTAGAATTTGCATAAGTACATTTTCTCTCTTATCCTTTCTTCCTCTTCAGGAGCTCCCCACCCTGTGTCTGGCTCTATTTCTTCATAGATATGTGGAGATGTTATCATAGTGAATGGACCAGCCTTCATTTGTTTTCTTTCTTTTGTGGGAGGGAGGTTCTTGAGATAGAACTTGTAGGTGAGGGACTAATTTGTTAGCATACATGTGTTTGTTTCATCAGCTGTGAGCTATAAATCAGCCTGGATTAGCAAGATGACTACAGCCTGGAGACAATCAAAACTGATTGGGAAGTCATGCAGTGTGATCTGTCTTCCTTGAGGGAAGTTCGGGGTTGAGGGTGGGGGTCAGGGAACAGTGTCCAAAGAGGGAGTGGGAAATGACTTGGCCTCATTAATCACACCGTGATTGTTTGTCTAGTGATATTATTTTAATAAGCCCAAGCCAGAGTCAAGGCAGTTCTGACTTACAGATGTAGGCCTAAGTCCTGTGGAGTTGCAATTTGTAACAGCCTTCTCATTTGGTGATCTCTGGTATACCCACCTCTCTGATGAGACTAACTTGGCATTCTCATCTATTTGATATTTGTTGGAAAAAAAAAAACTTCCAGTTTTACCAGCATTATTTGAGTTTGATCCATTGTGTCCCACAAAGTCAGTCCAATGGGTGGCTGCATGCTCTTTTCTTAATGTAAACTTATCTATGTGTCCTGCTTTACGAAAAGACTCAAAGATTTGAAGAATTTTAAATCTGGGAAGTAGCTGCAAGTTCCCCTTTCTAAGAGATCAGGGTGAGAGGTATTGTAAATTGAATTTACTGTGGTTTAAAAAGAATGTCTGTCACAGTACTCTGGGAGACTGGGGCAGTAGGATTGCAAGTTCAAGCTCAGCCTGGCCTACTTGGTGACTTAATGAGACCCTGTCTCAAAATAGAACAGTAACAAAAGGGCTGGGGATATAGTTTAGTGGGAAGACCGTGAGTTCAGTCCAACCCAGGACTGGTCAAAAAGAAAAGCAAAAAAGAATTGGGATTAGAATTCTGGAGTCTGAATTTTTAGCCCAGTGCCCTTTCTGTGAAAACTGTAAAAGGGACTATTTGGGAAGTAGTGGTCGCTCCTCAGAGCAGAGGCTGCAGACCAGGGCTGCACAGCTCCTTTTACAGTGAAGGCTCAGGGGGTTTGAGCCCAGCTGGAGGATTTGGCAGCTTCGCCCAGCAGCTACCTTGAAGTCCTTGCTAGTGGCTGCCACAGTAGCTGCAGTTACAGAGGAGAGGTTTGAGGAGAGCTGGCGGTGTAGGAGGGTTGGGTAAGGTGACTCAGTGGGGACCTTTGAACATATGGGAAGATATTGAAGCAGTTTTAGGTATTGATTTAAGGGGAACTCATTAAAGAGAACTCAGGTTGTTAAATTTATTGTGTGACAGTCTCCTCCTTCATTCTTTGTGTCTATTAGTTGCTGTAAAAACCAATACTCATAATTTGGAATACAACTGTTTTCTGGCATGGTTGCAGATAATGATAATTATTCAATATTTGTGGAGAAGTTAGTGTGTGCTGGGTGGTGGTAGTGAAACACTTTGGTTATCAGATGACTTTCTATAGGGATGGCTGAACTACTGATTTTCAAGGAACTGTAAATTTAAAATAACGCTGAATCTTTTAGCCACTCTTCTAAATTCAGAAGATGTCAGGATCTTCTAGTAGCAAATCATTAGTATGAGCATAAATAATTTTAATTCAGAAGTATGGCAGAACCACATATTAAGGAGTTTTTGTTAATAATGTGACAAATATAAAGAAGATGCTCTATTTAAAGAATAAAATACCCTGTTTAGAATAATAGGAAGATGTCCTTGTGTTTCTTAGGGAATAAAGAGAAAACACTAGGTTTTTGTTAAATAAAAAATAGGGTTTTGTTGGTGCTGTGTGTTCATTTAAAGCTCTAAATGTGAACGTTTCTGCAGCATTTCGGTTACCCGAACTGAAGGTGGAACTGTCAGAACTGTAGTGATTATTATTATTATTAGTTTTTTAATGATTGTTTTGTCTGCTTGGACTCTCATCACTTCACATCTGTGCCATATATCCTAAACTTTTCTCTGCAGATTGAGGGTCTTATTTCTCCATTTTGTTCATTTTCCTATCATTTTGCCTAATGAATCATGAAAATACTGATGAGTCCTTTGCATACCTTAGTGACTTCTGGAGTCACCAAGCATTAAACCTCACTCAGGCTTCACAGCTTCTGCAACTAATCAGAGGAGGTTTCTAGCAAGGAAGCCCAGCTTGAAGACCATCTCAGGCGGCGTCTCTCAGTGGGGGTAGTTTCGCTCCCCACAGGACCCTTGGCCATGTCTGCAGCTTGGGGAGGCTGAGATGGAAGAGGAATCTGTAGCAGAGTACGGGCTCATGATGCTGCTCTACACCCTATGATGCTTAGGGAAAGCTCTCACAATGCAGCATTATTTGGGTAAAAATATCAGTAGTTCTGTGGTTGAGAAACACTGCTATAGTGCATCTTGTTAGGCCCAGGGCATTGAAATGGCCTTTCCTATGTCCTCAGTTTTTAAATTTTAGCAGCTCACAGGGCTCATGCTGCCACAGGCCATGATTCTTTTTCATTGCCCTACCTTCTGTTTTGAAAAATGTTTTCTTAATTTATAAAGATAATACACGCACAGGCCAGAAAACCCAAATGCTGTAGATGATTAGGAAAGTAAAAAGCCCATCTAATTCTACCACCCAGAGACATTTTCTGTTCCTATTTTGATAAATCTATCTCCATTTCCCTCCCTCTGATTTTATCCACATGTAGATATGTAGACCTAATCATTTAGATAAAAAGGGGTCATCTGTTGTGTAATCTTTATCCTCCTTGGTTGATTCGGCAAAAGCCCACTGGAAGGACTCTGATCAAGCTAGGGGAGGAGGCCAACACCCTGTGGCATGGTACGGGTGATCCATCACATGGCACTAAGATATGCTCTGGATTCATTTGAGGGAGGATGAGGAATCAAGCAAGAGAGCTCTATGCCTTTCTTTTTCACGACTGTATGTTATTCTATTTAAGAATTCATCTTAATGCCAGGATGAAGCACCTAGAAAATTAAAAAGGATTTTGAGAATTTATTTGTAACGCATTACATTCCTGTTAGCAAACACGAATTTCATGGGTTGGCATTGGAGTAAGTCTTTCAATTCTATTTTCTTTAATTGATGTCTGTCTAGTTTAAGCTTTTAAATGAGATCCGAGGATGTATTTAGTATGCCTAGCAAGCTTGAAGCACTGGGTTCAATTTTCAGCAGAAGAAAAGCCAGAGAGTATACTTTTTACAGTGGGGTGTTTAATAAAACTCATCTATGAAAAAAATTATTGGTTAAATTATTTTCTGCATGTATCAATAAGGGCGACAGATCACAGGGGCCATAATCCTTGGGGCTGTTGAAATCATTTGGCGGCTCTTCCAGTAGCCGCCAGATTGAAATGTAAACATCTGTTACCTTTTCTCTGCTTTCAGAACTGATAATGCAACCCGGCTTCAGATCAGAGATGCAGCGTTCTTCCTCCGCGGTTTCGGATTAATTCTTTCTCCTCTCTCCCACACCCCCATGTGCGCGTGTGCGCACACACATGCAAATATCCACGGACACACAAATCAGAAGAGCTATAAAATTGGTTACCATGGGTCCAGTCCTCCCAGGATGAAAGCTGCACGTCTTGGCGTTCTGTCTTGCTCTTTGCAGGCTGTGGGGTCTGCTTGGGAGCACGGAGCCGCATTAAGTGGGCAGGAGGAGGGCTGTAAGGCAGTTGGTACCGATCTCATCTTCCCGTGTGCTGAGTTTCCCCTGCCTCAAAACTTGGGAGTGGAGGTGCGGTGAAGGAGATTTAGGAAACTCATTGTTAACATTGAAACCCAAGAGTAACTACCAACAGGGCCGGGGGATGCCAGGGAGGGTTGTATAAGGAGGCATTTAATTAGCATCAGACCTT